GGGAAAAAATAAGTTTTCGTAGAAATAGAATTCTTGAAAATCAATATTTTTCGATCTAAAATGATTTAGGAGACTGCTAATAATAATACCCAATTGTTTATTTAGCCATTTTCAATTATTCACTATATTTATAGGACCCCGAAAATCCCCAAAAAATGAAATGTGGGACCAAAAAAAAAAACGCTTCTACTAGAAAATGGTAAAACAAAAGAACAATGGGTATTATTAGTGACAGTTTCCTGCAGAGCCTAACTTTTTCAGATGCATTTTGGACCACCGTAATGTATATATATGTGTACGTGGTATTAAATGTACATTAGAGTGTACAAAAACATAAGGTATTTTTCTTTTTTTTTTTTGAAACTCGATATTTGTACAGAAGCCTCAGTTAACGTTTGGTCGCACTCTTCGCTGTAATGCCTAAGCTTTCGTTGTTGCGAAACAAGATTACGTGTTTAGTTGATCACTTTACAGTTTTGCGCGGGCGTGCTTGCGTTAAACTCTTGGAGTATATCCAAGATTTCTGCTGGGCTGCGTTTCTTCGATCCAGCTCTCCTGATGTATTCCATAATTATGAGAAGACATAGTCTTCGGACTTCTCGTACCAAAGAGTATCTTGTTACTAATATTGGCGGGTGCTGTTACAATTGCTGTGCGCTTTCGTTGTAGGCTTTTTGTGTAATAATCTCAGTACACCCTAATGTACCAGCACACATACATACAAACATTCATATGTACATACGTGCATATGTGTGTATGAAAATAATATTTTGAGCTGCTGATCAGCTTTGGATGGTCAATCCACTGATTGTTGGACATATAAAACCGGCAGTAAATATTGATGAGCGATAAGTTAGTCATAGAATCTAGCCGGGGAATAACGAGCACTGGGCAAATACAAATTTATTTTTGTTCTGAATAAAAAAAAAAGTGATAAGCATGAATTCTAAACTCGTTCTACTGTTGGTTTTCGGTATGTTTAGTGGAATTCTATTAATTTTAAAATTGAAATAATAAAGTGTTTAAATCTTTTGATTCAGCTTGTTTGGGCACCATGGTAAATGCGCGTCCACAGCAGTGGCAGGGTCCAATATTCTCCAATCCATTTTTTCCCAACATTCCTGGTAAGTTTGATATTGTGTAGACGGTTTACAAGTGAGCAAAAAAAATGTTGTATGTGCATATGTATGCAAGTTTGTTGTAAGAGTGTCCTAATCAAATAAAAAAAATATATGCCTAGCTAAGCATACAGATATTACCGCCAGCTCTTCTTTTGTGTTATGTAAAAATATATAAAAAAAAGTTGAATCGGTTAACAATTATGCCTAGTGAAAGGCATTAAATGGCAAAAATAACAAATGGCAAAGTTGGGCATTAAATAAAAATCGTGTCAGTACGTTAAAAAAGTAGTCACTAAGTTCATTTCCACAGGACATTTTTTTTTAATGGCATACATTTTTTGTCATTTCAATGCCTAGTGGAAATTTGGCCATTTTAAGAAAATGTGGAGCGGATGTAAAGCGTTCACTTTAAAGCCGTTTTTTACGAGCTTTGAATTTTTTGAATTATGACACTTTTGCAGAAAATGTGCAATATGTATGTATGTACATTAGGCATATGAGTTCTATCTAAAATTAAGTAAATCGCACCTTAAATCAAAAACAGTCGCAGCAAAAAAAAAATAAAATCAAATATTCAAGAGAGGCAAACAATTGCGGATGCGATGCAAGCAAACGAAAAAATTTTAATATGTATTATATTTCCGGTTATAAGAATATAATGATGAAGAGGCAGTGTTGGCGGACGTTAATAATGTGATCTGTTTTATGGAAAAAAATCAATTTTGAAAATATTGTCTGTGAGGCTGAAGATGAAGAAAGCTGATAAACTAACAAACAAAAAAAGTATTTGTCAAAATTTAATCACAAAATTCTCCATAGGACTCAGAGAAAACATTTTTTTTCTGTAAAAAAACATACGTACCGCCTTAACCGCAAATAGGAAGTAAGGGACATTCTTTTTTAATTTTCTTTTTGATGCAGAAATATTCCTAAAAAAAAAAATTTTTATAAAAATTTCGCTTAGCTGTTTTCGGCGATTAGGGCTCAGTATGTATGCGTAATATGTATGTTTATTTTCCAGTACAATTTTTTTTCGCGGAGTTTCCTGCATGCATTTTTTTTACCAAATTTTGACGAAAGCGTTATATTTGTGGGTTTTTCATCATCCTCATCCTCTCCCCATAGGTACATATATTTAATTTTAGAATAAAATCATGTGCCTAATGTACTATTCATATGTACTTATCTATGTACATATTTACTTAAAGTAGATTAATGTGTCTTCTTGTTGCAAACACAAACAATTAACTACTGCATAAATTCTTGGTTAAACTAGATGCCTCTTCTACTACCACTCCCGCACCGCCTGCCTCTTCGACTACGGTGCCTTCACCAGAGTATCTAGCCTGCTTGCGCGCCTGCCCTACCACCATGGAATACAATCCTGTTTGTGGCAGCGACAGTCAGAATTACCACAATAATGCACGTCTGGATTGTGCTGCGCGCTGCGGTCAAGGTTAGTATGGAGTGTTTAGATTTTTATTATGTGCACATATACACACATACATACATATTTACGTACGAGTTCATACACACCGCTACCAAATCGCTCTGATCCAATACTTTTCGTGTAAAATTCTGTAAAAATGTCAAACAGCAAAATTACTCTCTGAAGTGAGGGTAAAAAAAAAGAGTAACAAAAAAAGTACGGGAACAAAAAAAAAAAATAACATTTTTCCTGTAAAAACGTGAAGTAGTGATCGCTTGACACTTTTCATGATTTTACTAGAAGAAGAAAATCTTCTAACTTCATTCTCTACACAACTCTCCAAAAATCGCTCTAATTTACAGGATTTTGGAGGAATTTGGTGTACGGGATCAGATTTCCTGTAACTTCCTGCAAGTTCGTGTAAAAATCTGTAAGTGCGTGGAGTACTGGATCAGAGCTTATGATACGGTCACCCGGTTTTGGGGAATTTTTATTTATTTTTTAAAATTAATTTTACATAATTATTTTTTTATAAAGGCATAGTTCATTGTCTAACAAAAACCGTTTAAATCCAAATTTTATACTTTGTACAAAAATTAGAAAAAGTTATAGAAAAAAAAGTTTATAATTTGTGTATGTTTTATGAATCAGGGTGAAGAAATGCAGTAGCCCATTGAATTTTAATATAAAGTGTAAGAGGATTTTTTTTCCTGTTGACGATGTTGCGCATTTTTTCCAATATATTCGTGTGTATGTATGTACATAAAATAAAATGCGAACCTTCGTTATGTAGAAGAAAATGCTCAAAACCGCCAACAAAAAAAAAAAAACAAAAATCTACGGTATTTTGTAGGCCCTTTTAACTTGCACTTTGTTTTCAAAGTTGAATGGGCCATAAAAATACCTAATCAAAATAAAAAAATTGGTTTTTGCCAATTTATTGAATTTTTCTAATTTTTGTACAAAGTTTGAAATTTGGATTTATTGGAATTTTGCTACATTGATTCTAACTATGTATTTCTATTGAAGCATACGCAAATTTGCTTAGTTCAAAATAGTCACAGAAAATCCGAAAAGTTCCAAATAATTTTAGCTTAAAATATGTGAAATTTCGCTTTAAAATTTTTGCCAAACAAAAGCTGGAACACAAAAAATTTGAAAGGTCTTTTGCTCTCTCTCCTGTAAAATTTGAAACTGTTCACTCTAAGCTAGCGGTTTATTAGAAAAAAAGTTAGTGGTTTACACTAGGCATTAAATGAGACAAATTTTAATGACAAAGTTGAGCATTAAAAAATGCCTGTGCTATTACGTTAAGAAAAATTGTAATTAAATTTCATTACCATTATTCGTCATTTGCCTACTGGAAATTCGGCATTATATTATTTGAACGAATTCGTTTTTACATTGTTTCATTTCCAGATGTTGTTTTTGTACGATTGGGCACCTGTAATGCATTATAAACAAGATTACAAACCCGGTATTTAGTCAATAATAAAAAATTTATTTGCTTATTTTTAAGTTATAAAATTTGCATTTAAGTGAAATTATTAAACAAAATTCAAGAAATTCAATTACCATTTGCGTTTGTGTTTACTTCTGTTGAACTTCGCCTTCCATTCACATGCCCCGTTTTTTTTTTTTTTTTTTATTGACTTACTCAAAAATGTATAGAAAGAAATTCACACATATCGATTCAAATTACAAATACAAACAACAGTTATTAAAAAGTCCATTTTCCGGGGTTATCAGATGCTACTTGCTTCAAAGTAAGCTTGAATTTTTAATTTATTGCTTCCCGTAAAATCAAACGGCATTGAACTTTAAAAAAGCGTGTAATAATCAAAATGTGTGTTGAAATACATACGTACATACCAAGGCACATTAAACAGGTAGTATCAGTAGAGCAAAAACAACATTTGCGTGTATTTTGTTGTTGCTTCTGGTATCGAAAGTGTCAACAACTGTTCTGAATTTTTTCTTCTAAATCAAAGCGTGCCATGTGAAATACAAAAAATTATAAAAAATAAAAAATTGAAATTGGAAAAAATAAAAATTGATGCAACTTTCTTTCCTAGTAAATTTGTTTGCTTCTCGAAGCATTGATCCATCCTTTGCAAGGCCCAGTAATCAGCGGTCGTGCTGCCGATTTGGGCGAACGTTCCAAAAGCTGCTATTCAATCGCTTGTTTTGTATGGAAAAAGGTTTCACAAGCAAATGGATTTTAACAACTTATAATTTTCGTGAGAAAAAATTAAAAATATTTGACATTTTCGAGACCAAATAATTTGAAAATAAATCAAATCAGCTGCTCTACTGATACTACCTGTTCAATGTACCTTGGTACATACTAAGCTATGTAATAAGAAATATATTTAGCGCTCATATTTTTGCTAAGTGTATGGCCGAGCTTCTCCTTCCATTTGCAGTATGTGTCTTGACTTTATAACTCGAATGGATTTTATGTGATAAGCTTTTTAGAAAAAACTTTTCGGATCAGGGATCGAAGTTTGGTCACACCGTGTGGAAGTTTGCACATCTAAGAACTCGGCCACTGGGGTCGTGTTACCAATGCTGATTTTCAAAGAAACGAAGTGCCAAAGTTGCACGAAACACTTTTGGAACGTTCTGGTACGGGAAGACGAAAAGTTTGTGCTTATAGCTAAGGTCGAAGGAAACGGGAACTCTCCAGCGCAAACACTGAACGTCTCTTGATTCAAGTGGTAAACTTACAGCCGAGCGAATAGCGTCGGTTGAGACTGCTGTGAACGGAAACAGGGCCAGATTTACGGCCTTCGATAGCCTTCAAGTGCATTACCAGAATAAATATCTCTCAAGCAGCAAACCGTCGTCAGACGTCAGGAGAATAAGGAGGAATTCGTGAATCTGTAAGTAGATATTATTTCGATATCGAATCATATGGCAGGTGGCCGAGAGCTAAAGAGCAGTGAAGGTAACTTTAGTAACCGCCTAAGAAAGGTTCAAATCGCCTGGGGCCTGGACTCGATACTTTATTGTGATAGCCAAAGATCATAGGCCGCACGGATGAAAGTCGGATTTGTGTATACGAAGAAAACTGGGTCTGTATAGGCAAAACCAGTCCTACCAAGTGATGCCGAAATCGACTTCTTTACAGACGCTGGCTGGTTACATAGATAGTACGTAAGTGGCATGACGATGGTAGAACCGGGAAGATAAATAAATTTGAGATCGGTGAAATAATATTAGTCTATCCAAAAGCTTGTATGAAAGTCCTTAAAGCTTGAGATGTTTCATAACGACCCAGGAAGAGAGATGGGGGCCATCTTGGAAACTTAAAAACGTGCAGTACATATCCACGAAAACAACGTACATGTCTAAGCGAAAGAAACAAAAAAAAAAATTATGATGCAGAAATACATATAGATGCTCTTAGAGAATTTTTGCATCCAAAATAAAATTTTGAAAAAAATTTACCTTACGTTATTTTCGCGGTTAGGGCCCCAAAATATACGCTATTTTACCAAAAAAACAATTAAAAAAAGTTTTTCCTAAATTTAAGTCCGAAAGCCATGATTTTCATATTTCATACTTAGTAGTCAAAAATATGAACATATGTATGAATATTCCGAAAGCCAGGCGCCAATTAAGGCTCTTGGGGTCTTTGATGATCCGCTTATTGTCAAGACAGGGAACTCTGCAGGAGTTGTCGTCACATTTGGTCTGCTACTGGAATGATGGGCGTCTGGTCAGCTGAGGGAACACTGAGCGAAACTCTTGGAATACAAGATGGCTAAGTTCCTCGGACCACAGGGAGATCGGAGGCGGTCTAAGTAGCTCCTAAAGCTAAGCAAGGCGCATTTATCGCTACTGATAGGGTTTCTAATCTTCTGCTTCTTGATATTAGTCTCTTGAGGAACTTTATTGTGGGTAGAAAAGTGATGCTAAAACCAACATATAAATATGTACGTATGAAGGTAAGCATCATAGATCGATAAAACTCCCTTCTCTCCCATTCCTATTTGACTCTAAACCATTTAATTGTTTCATAAACAAGTAATTTTTTAAGCAAAAAACGAAACCGACTTCGATTCTCATATAAAAGTTT